CGAAATGTAATAGAATCGAGTCAGTCTTTTTCAGTGATGATCATGAAGACATCTGGGTTCTCACTGAATTTGACTGCCTTTTTTCTAAGACGCTTTTCTCGCTGTTGTCTAGCTAGAAGTATAGCAGACGATACTTGATTGATAGGCTTAGAAGAATCGCACTCGTCGCTTATTTCTTTTGGAGGTATATCTACCACTTTACTAATAGGCTCGATAGATTCAGGAAGCTTGCTAGTCTCAAGTTCATCTATTACTGGCTCAGGTGTTTTAGAAGTCTCGGATGTGCCAGATGATGAAGTAAATGGAGCATGTGTATCTTTTATCACATAGTCAGAAAGAGTCTGAGCCAATTCGTCCTGTTTATCTGCCTTTTTATCCCTTGGAGGAAGTTTCTTTTCTGACACATTAAATATGGATATGTCTGTAGTCTCATTTTCAGGTAAGTCTGGTTGAGGTATATTAGAAAATTCTTCAATATTGCCTAGGCCAGATTCACAAAGCTTGGCTACGATCTTGAAGCAGTTAAGAATATAGTGATATTCTCTTTTTCCACCACCTGTTCATGCTTGTTTGCTTTCAATACCAATATCTGAGAATTTCTTTCCAGTAATGTTATTAGAAAATGGCTTTTCGCCATCCTCTTCACACCATTCAAGATACTTCTGATATAATGCTTTTTTACTTAACTCAACTACACTATCCTCAGCTCGAGATACAATATAGTCAATTATAAATTAAATGGGATTAGGTAGCTGGTCTCGCATTATATCTGATTTTATTTTAGTTACAGGAATTTCTTGTGGTTCAAAATCTGAGAGATCAAGACTAAGAAGATATCTCATAACTACTCCTGGCGCATTGGGGTGGTCAAGAACTTTTCCTAATCGCTTAAAATATGCTGTATTTTCTCTACATTGTGAAGAGACATTAAAACAGACTACACGAGAATCCCCTATATCTATTTTGAGCGGAGTATTCTAGTTGCTTGTAATCATATACCTAGCAAAATCTTTTAGTCGTTTAGATTCAAGACCTTTGCGCTCTATAGTTACCATTCCTTCTGTTATAAGAGATTTGAGATGTTCATTAAATCTATGCCAATCCCCGCTAGACATTCCAGTCTCATTCATAACAATAAGCTTTTGAGCTTGGATGGCACTATTAAATCGTTCAAGAATTTTTTCCAAATCTGATGTAGCATAATGAAGATGTTTCCCTAGAACTTTATCACCAATAAAGTCAGTGATAATATTTTTTTCACACTGCTATAATTTAGACTTTAAGACTAAAATTGACCGAGGCTTTTTTTCTGACTTCTGCACTAAATACGCCTATCATTTCTAAAGATATTTATGAAGCTTCTCATTTTCATCACTAATAATATTTTTCGTATGCCAAAGAATCAGATCCATAATTTCTTTATTAATTTCTGATGCTGGCTTAGCCAAAAATCCTAGAAAAAGGTTAAAGAAATCCGTAACTAGTTGGGAGGCATTTAGTAGATATGGGAGGAAATTATAATCTTCATAAAGTATTAAACCTTTAGTATCTGCTTGGTCTATCAATGATTTTAACTTTATCGATTTCTCACTATATTCGATTATATTAATCTTGTAATCAGTAAGCTTTAGTTTAGATCCTATATTAAAGAAAAGGCCATTTTCTGTATCTTTACGCTTAAGAAACCATAATTTTAAAGTTCCTTGTATGCAGGCAACTGTTGCTTGGATAGCTTCATAAACTTCAGCACGAGAGAATTTCCTACCTGAAGTACACATGCGTAATAAGTCTCAAAATACAAATTGATCTTTTAGATTTGTAATTCTGAGTTGTTCTAATTTTACTGAAGTTGAAAGTTTCCTTTCTCGATCTAAGGCCGTTTCGCTAATAGTAAGTTTTTTTGAAGGCTTAGATCTGGATTGTCTATCTTGATTTGCTCAGTAGCAGAAAAAGCTATAAGATTTTTTATTTCATATAATATATGCATTTTCACTAGTATGTTTTCAATCACATATTGGGCAATGCGATGGGAAGACGCGTGATAGTGAAAATTTGTCAGGAAAATTTTCAGATGAATATGAGAGACTATACCCTTTGATACTAGCCTCTTGAAGTAATGTCTCTACTAGTTCAAGTTCAGCATCAGTGATCATTATTTATACTAGAACACCTTCCTATTTCTGCCTTCAGAATGGCCAAGAGAGGACTGTCAATGACTTCTGACTCATCATTAGGCGGGCAAATCATGAAGTCAAAGACAGATCTATCTTTCAGATGTATGGCTTTTTTTACCTATACATGAGTGTTAGTCTTTTCATCAAACTTAGGTATTCCAATCATTCGCAAGGAGAATATTTATTTGTTCGCTATGTTATTGATAATACTATTTGCCTGTAGAGTTATCAGAACTTTTTTACGAATGAGCTCAGTAAACAATGCAACTTGAGTAATATTTGGAAGTCTTATACCAAAAGTCGAGATATGGAGAGACATTTTTTTTGCATCACTACTGCTGGCAATGGTTATAGTTTTAGGATCCCACTTCGAGAATATCTTCAAACATGTTTTTCTAAAAGCAAGAATAAGTGAATCTAGTACCTCTTTACGTGTTAGCTTAGGCTCAATAGTATCAAGTACTTCTTATAGCAAATCGAAATCTATAATAGGTCAGAGTGGCTCATCCCTATCAATGAATTTGTGTAAGAAATAGCCTTCACGTTCTGAGAGTATGGCTTCTATTTTATCCTCATTATCTGCACCTAAAAAATGTCTTGGTTTAACACTATCATCACGAATTTTATATTGGCATTGTCCTATATCAGAGGCTTTAAACTCACAATAATATAGGGTGGGTATGTCGAGAAACTCTGAAAGCTCAGATTGGGTTATAGTATTATATAACAAATATACAGTTTGAGAGAAGTATATACTCTGAAAGAAAAAAGTTCAAAATGAAAATTAATTCCAAAATATATAAATCGATATATAATCGAACTATTCATAGTTATCAAAAATGGCATTTTATTGATATTCATATATTCTCAGGACTGGAAAAGTTTGTAATCAGGGGTAGAGTTCCAAATGAGTCGAGTTGAGTTGAATTTAAAGACCAACTCTATTTGACTCATTTTTTTTGAGTTGAGTTGAGTCAAATTTATTTTATAAAATCTTTCAATTTGATTTGATTCAAGTCATATAAATTTTAAATTCGACTCAATTTGACTCGACTCGATTTTAACTTGATTTGATTTTGAAAAAAAAAATAATAATAAAAAAAATGAAAAGAACGATTCAGGTCATCGTTTTTCTTGAACGATTTTTTTTATCATTCAAGTCGAACGATTCCTTATCATTCTTCTTGAATGATTTTTTATCGTTCAAGTCGAACGATTTTTTATCGTTTAAGGCAAACGATCCTTTATTGTTCTTCTTGAATGATTTTTTTATCGTTCAAGGTGAACGATTCCTTATCGTTTTTCTTAAACAATTTTTTTATCGTTCAAGGCAAACGATTTCTTTATCGTTCAAGTTGAATGATTCTTTATCATTCTTCTTGAACGATTTTTTTATTGTTCAAGTTGAATGATTCCTTATTGTTCTTTTTGAACGATTTTTTTATCGTTCAAGGTGAACGATTCTTTATCATTCTTTTTGAACAATTTTTTTATCATTCAAGTTGAACGATTCCTTATTGTTCGACTTAAATGATTTTTTTATCATTCAAGGTGAATGATTCTTTATCGTTCAAGGTGAACGATTCTTTATCGTTCAAGTTGAACAATTTCTTATCGTTCGACTTGAATGATTTTTTTATCGTTCTTCTTGAACGATTCTTTATCGTTTAAGTCGAATGATTCCTTATCATTCTTCTTGAATGATTTTTTTATCGTTCAAGTTGAACGATTTCTTATTGTTCTTCTTGAACAATTTTTTTATTGTTCAAGGTGAAAGATTCTTTATTGTTTTTCTTGAACAATTTTTTTATTATTCAAGTCAATTCGAGTCAACTCAAGTTTAAATCAAGTCGAGTTAAATATTTAACTTAACTCAAATTTGGCTTAACTCGCAAATAATTGAGTCAAAAAAACACAAACTCGATTTGATTTGAACTCGACTCAGCTTATCTGACTCATGAGTTAACTCGACTCGTCCAGAACTCTACTTATATTAATATCAAAATAGCAAAATTAAATTATGCATATTATTCATTAATTGACTAATATATTTAATACTATAGAATTCATTTAAATCTCAAAAGTTGAAATTCTAAAACCTATTTATTATATCCTATATATAATCATATTTAACATACATCTTTCATAATATAATGTAACAAATAATTTTGATTTCAGAATTTTATATTAACTCAATATTACAACAATCTAATACATACTGAAATATTTTAGAATATGCTTTCAAACATTTTAATCAATAATATTTTTATTATCTTTTTTAATTATAAATGCTAATTTATTATACATATATAATATATAACTTTCAAACTATTTTGTTATATGATATGTATATGCATCAATACAATTATAAGACTTCCTGTTACGTAATAAATGATTGATATCTCAAATTATATTGCTTAAAAAGTTTTTGGTTGAGACTAAGTTATATGCATTGTATAATCATATTTGTCATGATGTAAAGAAGTTTTAACGAAATCACGTGATTGCGAAGTTTTGTCGATTTACGCCACAAAAATTCCACTCCATGTGACTTATTGGCCGGCATTACGGCATTAATAAACTAACTGTGTGACAAATAATCACTTATCGAAAAAATTCTGTTTTCAAAATACATAGTAATAATGAAAAGTTGGGGGGCGTGACGCAGGATGACAAATATTTTACTATTATCATGTGGGGTGGAAATTTTGTGGCGATACTGGGGAAGATGTTTTGTCGGTGCCACTGGGTAGTTTTTTATGACTGGCATTATAAAAAATTACTACTATTTTTACGCGATAATTTAAAAGCTGTATTTTCGAAGCCATGACTTCTAGTTTAGTTCAAAGTGATTTTACACAAACAAGTTTGTTTTCCTCTGAAGTTCTGCTATTTGGTGACTTTTGTCGTTTCTTAGAAGTAGTTTCTAAAGAAATTGGCGACGCGAAAAAAAAAAAGTGTGCAAAATTCATTCAGGTGTGAGGCTGTTTTTTATATACATTTAGTTAAAATTGTTATTTCAATATATTTAACTCATTGTTTATTTTCTATGTTGATAATAGAATTATCGAAATAAATTTGGAAATGACTTTTATCCTGTTATGCGTTTATTACTTCCACATGTAATTTTAATTTAATTCAACTAATGCTTGTTGATAACCGAAATTCAATTATGAGTTAAAATTGAACTTTCTTGAATATATTAGCTTGATAAAGAAAGGACGAATTATGGTATGAAAGAGGTAGTTCTTGCCAAAACTTACATATCTGTAATGGGGTTGGCAAGAGATTCTGTTTATGGTCAAAGATTAATTCACTGGAAAATGCCTGGGAGTTCGAAAATTGTATGTCAAAAATCATTAGAAATCTTTGATGAGTTTATTTTGTAAGAATCTTAGTATTAACTTGTATGTAACTAGAAAACCGCTGGCGATTTTGCGTCAGTAGCATTTGAGGTAATTGCTCCTCGCTCTATTGTTGTTGGTCGTGGAAAAATGACTATCGAGGATGTAAATTATCAGCTTGATGTTTTAAATGCTGCTAGCGGACAGTATGTTATATTTTCATTTTTCATTTTGAAGCATTAATAGTTTATTTGATTGCATTTATTTATAAATATGAAATTCATTATTAAATAATTTAAATGAAGGCAAGAATATCAAAAAGTTATACGACATCTCTTTAATAATTATACTGCAATAGAACAGAAGTGGATTATTAGAGTAATTTTGAAAGGTACTTCTTTCAAAATAAAAGCATATGATACTGTAATTTTCTTTTAATTTTTAAAATTCAATTTTTTTTTTAATTATTATTAGAGCTTAAAATTGGGTTGAGCGAAAAATCAGTATTTCTTTTATTTCATCCAGATGCTTGTAACCTTTTCAACGTTTGCAGTGATTTGAGAAAAGTTTGTGAAGATTTACAAGATCCTCACACCCGACTTCCATCATCAGTATGCATTTATGAAGTTAGTTTTGACCATTTTCGAAATTTTAAACATGTTAATTTCTTTATTAATTATAGGATATTATTCTCTATTATCCATTCAAACCTATGCTTGCAAAACCAGTTGCTGTTCAGAATGTTATTAAAACAATGGGTGGTGGCTTTTGGATAGAAGAGAAACTGGACGGTGAAAGAGTACAATTGCATATGAAAGATGGAAGATTTGAATACTTTTCAAGGCAGGTCACTGTTCTATTCAAGCCTAGGATTGAAGACATTTACTTATTTCAAATAATTGGTATTGGTTATTAGGAGAGCCACACAATATACTTATTTGTATGGTTCTAACAAATCTGAGGGTTCATTAACACCATATATAGCCGACTTGTTTCATCCACGTGTAAAGGAGTAAGTAATATCAATTTGCTTTTTAATAAGGTTATTTTCGTTATATAATCCTTTCACACTTTTCCTAGAATTATTCTGGATGGAGAAATGTTAGAATATGATCCTTTATTGGATGTCTATAAACCATTCGGAACTTTGAAAACCGCCGGGAAAGGTATTGAAATGAATTTTTTTTTGATGTTATTAACTTTTTATATTAATACATTCTATCTTGTTTAATAAGATCACTCGGATAATCCAAATAAGGAAAGACCCTGCTGTATGCTTTTAATTTAAATTCCGATCATTAAAGCTTTATGATCATGATTAACGAACACATAGTTGTAATTAAATAGATGTAATATTTGATATTGTCTTAATAAATGGAAAGTCGATAATTGATCAACCATTACAAAAAAGAAAAGATTGGCTTAGAACGTTGATTACAGAAAATCCTGGATATTTGAAGATTATTAGTCATAAAGAATGCAGCACGGCTAAAGATTTGATTGATGCATTAGATGAAGCTGTTATGAAAAGGTTAATATCATACAAATAGACAAAATTTTTGATTTCGTAACTTTATAAAATCTATTAAATTATATAGACAAGAAGGGATTATCATAAAAAAACCTTCCAGCAAATATGTTCTTAATGAAAGGATTGATGACTGGATTAAGATAAAACCCGAGTATTTGGATGCGCTTGGTGATAGTTTAGATTTATTAATTATTGGTAAGTTTCTAGATATTACTACAATCTAAATGGGCTAGTTAAGTATATTGATAAGTCTCAATATTTAGGTGCGGATTTTGGCGTTGGAAAACGCGGAAATATGTTTGGCAGTTTCATGTGCGGTCTAAGAGATTCAACATCAGCAGATGATAGTCCAAGGTTTTATTATAATCATGAGTATAGCGTTTCTTGATTATATGTATATGTATACTAAGTGTGTTTTTTTCCACATTTTTTCTATAAGATTTATTACCTTTTGTCGATTTGGTACTGGTCAGACAATGAAAGAAGCTGAAGATATTAAGTAATTATGAATTATCAAATAATTGATATTCATATGATAGTATATGATAGTACTAATATAGATATTTTAATTTCAGAAATAATTTTAAGGGTTGGCAAAAGTTTGATCCAAATAACCCTCCAGATTGGCTTGAAGTTGGTAAAGACAAGCCTCATATGATAATTCCTCCGTGGAAGTTAATATCTGCATTTATTGTTTTCGATGAAAATTTTTTGAAATTTTAAAAATAAATATATCTAAGTGTCTCTTTTTTTATAGTTCAATAGTCGTGCAAGTGAAAGCATCTGAAATTGTTGCTGGAAGTAAGAAGTTTTTTTTTGAATACTCGTATTATATTTTAATATTGTAGAATTAATTATTTTAAATGTAAATCATTAGATCAATTTGCTTCTAATTATACACTTAGATTTCCTCGGTTTGAAAAACTTCGTGAAGATAAAGATTGGAAAAGTGCTATGACCTATGAAGGTTATTATCTTTGGTTTTTTTAAATGATTTCATTAAATTGTGTTTGATAAAGATAGTCAATTTATATTATAACTTTAATTTCTGAAGAAATGATGAATCTTCGCAGACAAGCATCAGGGCGATTGCAGTCCAAGAAAGTCACCGAAGATGATTTAATGTAAGCTTAAGTTCAATCTATCAAGGTTTCTATAAATAAATTATGAAAATTAGTTCAGATATTAATATTTAATTTGGTGAAGTACGATCTCACGAGCTGCCAAGAGAAAAGGAAAGACTACAGCGCCGCGCAGAGTAAGACAGTTCAGGTTCACACATGATTTGTTTTATATTCCGTTTATCTAATTTATTAATTCTTATTTTAGGTCAAGAAATATACTATGCTTGAAACCTTTACATCTAATATAGGACAGGTGGAAGAAAAATCTATGATATTTAAAGATATGAAATTTCGTAAGAATCTACTTTATTCGTCCTATGATTTGTCATTTTACATATGGACTATTAAATAATTTGGTATTTCGTACAGACATAATGTTAACAAGATATAAAGAATATTCAAAAGCAGATTTTGAGCGTATGATTAAAGAACATGGTGGAAGTTATTCTCAACATCCTGGTACTGATTCTGAAATTCATCTAATAGCCGAGGACGCGTCAAGTATGTTTTAAAAATTAATCGTACACATCATTGCAAAGTGCAAAGTTCAAAGTTCAAAGTTTGCAATTCTTGGATATTTTGTGATTATATTTACATAATATCATAATAGACTTTCGCGTCAAAAATCTTATCAATCAGGGCGTGAGAGATATCATTCATCCTCGATGGATCTTGGAATGTATTAACGCTTTCAAACTAATTCCCTTAAGTCCAAAGTTTGTGATTTGTTTTTATTTAAACATCAATATTTTAAATTTGTGCATATTAGACAAACATTCTTGTATTATTTTACAGATATATGATATTTATTACTGAATCTACAAAGCACGAATTTTTAACGAGAATGGATGAATGGGGAGATAGTTACGCAGATGAAATTACTACGGAAGAATTGCAAGAAGTATGTAAAATATATTCCAGTATTCACCTATATCATATATTATACGTTTTCGTTTTTGGTGATAATTCCTATTGTTTTTCACTATTTCAGATTTTTGATTTAATGCCCCTAGATGAAAAAAATATCATTTCGAATCCTCAAAAGCGTCGTAAATTAGCTGACGAAATTGAGGAACGTTATTTTGCTGATACAGGATTACCAAACTGTCTATTTCGTCGTTGTGTGGTTTATATTGATTATCCACCATCTAAAGATCTTGTACAAGATAAGAACAAATTATGGGCTTTATATGAAGGATGTCATGATCGGTTGGTTAATATTACCTTAAAAATTTTTATAGTTCTTATATTTATCTTTGTTGTATGATTATTATATAATAGGTTAAAACTCATCGAATTGACTCTTCGATATCACGATGCTCAAATCGTAGCCGATTTTTCGAAACGTAATGTTACCCATGTTATTTTTGACGAAAAAGATTTGAGTAGATATAGCGAAATAAAAGATTTTCATGAAAAGTTTGTAACAATTTATTATAATTTTATTTCTGCGATTATTTTGTTGTTTATTTTAATTATCTAAATTCTGTAGGCGTAATATGTTACCGTGTTATGTACGTTCTTCATGGGTCACAGACAGCGAAAATTGTGGTGTTTTACTGGATGAGAACGGTAATTGATTATTTTTAAAATTTATTTTATTATAATAATATATATTAATCTATGTCCTTTTTGTGTATTATAAACAGAATATATTCCAAAGATTTCATAACAATAATCAACAATTTACATAAGCTCAATGGATTATTGACTAATATGATTAGGTTTATATTAATTATATCAAACCTTATTCAATTTATTAATATTTTTAAATAAGGAAATGTTTTCATTTGTTTCATTTGTTTTAATGTTAGTTAATATAATAAATGCAATTCAATAAATTTATTATCCCTTAAACCGTCCATTTTGGCGGACAAACTTGTCCGCTAAAATAATTGGAAAAAAATTAGTCCCTGAATCTTAGCTTAAAATTAATCGGTGTATCCCTGAAAAGTCAAGTCACATGATAATAAAATCGCGTTATAGCTTACGTCATGTGATCCAAGCGAATGGTAAAATTTCGAATCATATGAAATTTGCTATGCTTCGGCCGCGAAGTATATGAACTTTTCAAATCACCCCAAATATGAATGAAAAAGATACTATATGCTAGGAGTACCTATCTAAATAAAAATTTATGTTATTGGATTAATTATACTACAGTGCAGAATCTCTATAATAGGAAGTTAGAAAATTGTAAATAAAATTTGAACTAGTAATCAGATTTCAATTAAATAAAAAAAATTAAATTTTATTTGTAAAAAGGAATTGGTTTAAAAATTTTTTAAAATTCTCAATTTTATTAGATTATGTAATCATCACGTGATTATAATATTAGCCAATCAAAAGTTAGAATTCAATATATAAATTATTTATTTTATTTCATCATAAATGCTATCAGTTACACAACAATGAGATTTATATTTTTTAGCAGCAAATTCTTCCATTTTTCCAGTAATACCTTTTCTATAAATATCCATATACCGTCATGATTTTTGTGTATATTTACAAATTGTAATTAAGGGAACTGAATTTTAGGAACCGTTTATTACAATCCTGTCCATGTATAATTACAATATTCTCTTATATATCTCTTTGCCGCATCCTAATAAATTTCTATATAATTTAACTTACAATGATATTTAGAGTAAAAAATGCATTTATGATCACGCTTTTCAATTTTTTCTTGAAGTTGAGATTTTTGTTCTAAGAAATCTGGCTGTAATGATAAAATTTGACGTGCATAACAATCTACTCTATTCACATCTATAACTTTTATTTTTTCTTTACATAGTTGACAATCAGCCAATAAATTATTTTTCCATAAATCTCTTTCAATTAATATTTGTTTCATACCTTTTGGTTGATTTGGATATTTTAAATGATCATGTGAAAAAACCATAGATTGAAAAGTTTAATTTGGTCTAAAATAAGTTGAATGCATATATGGTTATTTTTCTCCTGGATTCATATTCATTTTAAAAGCATTTAATCCATCTTTTGTCATTGCATCATGATTAATACTATTATCAAATGCAAAAATAGCTATTGCATTAGAATATAATGTTTTAAAGATTAGAATTACTAAATTTATTACTTGATCTAAAAGATGATTTGCAGTCTAATAATCCTCATTATTTTTACCCGGATGTAAATATTTTCTTGCTTCTTTAGGAATATTTGGATAATTTATAACAAGCTCATCGGTAAGTTTAAGTCGTCTAATAGTTTCTAATAAAAATTCACTAATCATTATAGATTTGCCTTGACCTTTTTTTCTAAGCAATAGTTCGCCTAATAGAGCCCAAACAATCAGATAATTATCATTAACATAAAAAAGGCATTCATCATGTGTTACTAAAATATGTAACTGTTCTTCATTTTTAAGTTCTGGAAGAATCATTTGCATTTCATCACCAATAAATGTTGGCATTAGTTTTTCAAATTCTGCCATAGTTTTTAAAAATTGTTTCTGATATTGTAATACATCTTCACGTTCATATTCATTAAAATATACACCTTTTTTTCAAGATTGAGAAGTCTAACCCAACTTATGAAGCTATATTCTTACTGTTTTTATTAATATTGACCTTATAATACCCATTTGAGAAAAAAGTTTTGATATTATAAATTCTCTATACTATTGTGATATTATTCTTCCACTATTGGAATAAATATATGTCAAACTACAATTAATAATATTCTCATCATCAATAAATGATTTTATTTTTTGATGATGACCTTGTAATAAAATAAGTAATACATTATATTTAATCCAATAATCACCTAATTTACAAATTACTCTAGATCTATAAATTCCTTTACTATAAATTTCCTCTAATGCTTTTTCATTTGCCTTCATCTGTATTAATCCATCTTTTTTCTAATATGTAAAATATGCATGTATAGACCAGTATCTTAGGTAATCATATACATTTTGCTTTTTATTATTATTCAAAATAATTTGTTCTAATTTTTGTAATTTTGATTAAAATCACAATCGTTATTATTTTGAATATCATTATCTACACTTTCTTCTTATTCTTGATATGATATTTTCATCAAATTAAAACTATTTATTTCAACGTCCCAATCATCTAAAAAGCCTGTTTCTGAATCACCTTTAGCTAATAAATTATCGTCTTTTATACCAGCTGATGAATCATCATCTCTTGTATCAGCAAATATATTATTATCATTCTTTGTATTAACCAATGCATTATTATTACCCTTTGTACTTACCAATACATTATTATCATCTTTTGCATTGATCAATGCATTATTATCGTCCTTTATACCAGCCAATGCATTGTTATTATCTTTTGCATCAGTGAACATATCATCATTAATATCATCTAATATATTATTAAATTGTTTAATTTAAATCAATATTTATAAATCAATTTTAATAACAATTTGAGTATTCAATAAAAAAAAATATATATATTTACCTGTTAAATCTATAAGAAGTTCATCTTTAGCTAAATCTTTCATTAGTTTTAAAAAATTAAAAAGAGAACTTGTTCCCTTTGCCACTACAGTAAAACTTTCCTATAGTCCATATTTTTAATAATGTATTGCAATCGAATTGCTAATATATAGTGCTTTTTTTTGTTTAATCATCGCAATATCAGTTCATACTAATTTAAATTCAGATAGGCATTGCATTCTTTGATCTAAAAATTCTTCAGAATCAGAATCACTATCTTCTGAATAAAAATCATCTGAGCCGTTTAATTTAAGGATAAAGTTATCATTATTATTATCCTTATATCGTTTATTCAATTTAAATTTACCCGTTTTATCACATTTTTGCTTTGCAACTCATTTTTTGGCTAATCTTGATGCATGTAATAATGGCATAATGAATGAGGATAAACTTTTTCAAAATTTATTAAAATTTATTTAAAAATGTGTAAATTTAACAAAAAAAAAATGATAGCAAGCATTAAATTCACATTATACTGAAAGGAACAACTGGAATTCTGAAAATATAAAGTTATATCCTGAGTTCATTATATTGATTTCAATCGAAATTTATCTTTTTTTCAGAGTGTTACACAAATTAAAATATTCTTAATTTTGGTATTCATAATTAAATTAGTGTAACTTCATTATGCAAAAACTTTATTCATCATGCATAAAAATTTAAAATCTAACCATAAAAATGATTAGATTTTGATTCAAACTTTCTAATTTATCAGTTAAAATTTTTATATCTTTATTATTGATGGAGTTATACATGTTTAAAGGTTGAAAATTCTTATTATAAGGATGTTTCTATTATAGAGGTTTTGCACTGTATGAAGATTAACTTTAGCATACTTATATTAATAAACTGATGAATGTTTGCAAAGATAAATTCTCAAATCCAAATGGAGTGAAATATATGAAAAGATCAGTAGAAAAAGGGGAAAATCTACTTTTTAGTCAAAAATTTTTTTATTGGCTCACTCTGCTGATCATAGTCATATGAATAAACCTAGTTTAATAACTAAAATTACTCAAAATTTGTAGATTTCTCCCTTTTCTATTGACCACTTTCTACATATCTAAATTAACAAAAATAAAATTATTATTATCGTAAAGAAGAAAATAGATTTTACATTTTTCCTATTCAGGTCTATATATACAATAATGAGTCTCGTGATATATTTTTTTAAATAAAAATATAATAATCCTCATAAAGTTCCCATTTTAAGATCAACAAAACACTTGCTCATGATACTTTTTTTGGTTAAATCGATCTGTGTAATTTTAACTGCAAATTAATATAGAGTATTTTTAATTTTAATCTTAATCTTAATCCTAATTAATTAGGTATATTAGTTGATTATAGTAAATATTAGATTCAGAATAATGACATTCTACTCTCTTATCTTTTGTATTTAGGTTATATATATTTATTTTCAGATTATATAATAAAAAATATTTGGATTTTTTAATATAAAAGCAAAAATATTATTTTTTATTAATTAACGACATATGAAAATAAATTGTTTTAACTAAATAATATTAATATTAAAGTGTTTTTCAGGGTGATGGCAGATTACGAACGTTAATTCATCTTAATCAGTATTTAAATGGTAATATTTCTTGAGGTCTCTATACATATTTTCTGATATTTTATTTTATAATAATAGAAATAATCCATTGAATTCAGAAATATGCTAACAAAAATTAGCAGACTCCTTTTTTTTGTGAATATATAGAATGACTAATCCAAGAATTTACCATTAAAGAGATTACTGCATTGTTTAAAATTAATGATAATGATCTAACGAAAGTTATATATTTAAAAGTTAAGACATTCATTCTATCAAATCAAAATATTGAATCTTAAATTGAAGATTTTGATATTAATAATATAGTTTTTTTGAAAGGAAAATTTGTTATGTGTTTTGAATATTATTTTATATATGATTAATTTCATTTTATATTATTTACTTAATTTTGTTAATTAAATTAATAATTTGTTTTATTTATAAATAAAATAACCTAGGTAAATGCTATATCAATAAAAGTTATGTAAAATTTATATTACATTATTATATTATCTATATAGATGCCTGCCAAAACCTTCTCAAAATAATTTCATCATATCCTTTTCTATGTTTTTAATATAGTTTCGACAGTTTTAGCTTTTATTATATTGAAAGGATTTCGTCGTATCCCTTATTATGATTTTAATATAGTTTTATCTAAGTTTCAACTGTTATTAAGGGTTTTATCCCTCATTATTAGTTATCTATTAGATTAAATGTGATGATATTAGGACACACAACTAAAACTATAAAAAATATAAATGAAAATCACATTTCGATTTTATGTTAAAGAGAACTTGGGTGAAAGAAAATCTTGTAAATTTTAGATTAATGTACTTTATGATTCTAACCTTAAGTATCTCGTGAATAAGACTAATTTTATTAATTAAACCATGAGATCAATAACTGCTATATTAGTAAATATGATTACCTATATTCTACCTACGATTGATAAAACTATCTAAGACAAAATGATCCTTGAAAAGCATATACTTAAGTTTGAAAATATTTTGTTGATTTCACTAATTAAAATAATAGTAATGGTCAATAAGCTTAAACATATTGTGGCTTAATCTATCATCATCAAGTAATAATTAAACAAATTGTACTTTTGAGATACTGCTTTAAAAGAGATCAGAAAACTTTAAGTCAAATGAATGAGATTAAAAATAGATATGTCTTCAGGACCTTAGAAGCAAATTCTATTCTATCAATGATTACTAATACAACTTTCATAATCGCTGCTGCTACTGATTTTGCAATTAACAATAATACTTTATGAAAAGAATAGATATTTTTTATCATTGTATTCAATTTATTTGATTAAAAATTTTGAATTTATTTGTTATTTAAATTTTTAGATTTTTTTTTTAATTTATTCAACAAAAATTAAATAGTAAAACTTATTAAAAAATTTATGCTATTTTTTTTTAATTTATATAAAAAAAAAAATCAAATTTTAATTTTTTTTTTTAATATATAAATAAAAAAAATTGATTTATTATAAAAAAAAATACTTTATTTTTTATTTCTATTTTTTTTTACACCACAATCTCTAAAAATAAAAATGTTTTCTTAATTTTTTACAAAATCTTTTTTATTGCCATTTTTAAAAAATAAAATTAAATTAAGAGCGTTTATTATATTCTAATAAAATATGCTTTTTTCTTTCATTTTGTAATTTTGATCCTAGACTTCTTGGAATGTTATTTTAGTACTATAGTTAGTTTAAGTTGATTTTTTACTTATAAAAACGCATGCTAACATTCTTTTCTTTTAAGATTTTGATTTCATGATTCTTAGAAGGTTATTTCTGTAATATAGAGATGTAGATTAGTTATTCATTTATAGAAACGTATACTAACATTTTTTTCTTTTGTAGATTTTGATCTCAAGCTTCTTAGAAGGTTGTTTTAGTGGTATAAAGGTACAGGTTAGTCATACACCTATAGAAAAGTAGGCTAATATTCTTTTTTTTATAGATTCATCCTAAATTTCTTGAAAGATTGTTTCAGTAGTGTAAGAATGGAGATTAATTATTCACTAATAAGAACATAGATTAACGTTCTTTTTTCACCTTTTCTTTTGTAGATTTTGATCTCAGACTTCTTAAAAGTTATTTCAATAGTGTGAGAAAGCAAGTTGATTATTTACTTATAGGAATATATGTTAACATTCTTTTTTTACCTTTTATTTTGTAGATTTTAACCTTAGACTCTAATAAAATATGAATAAATTTATAAAAAAATCATTCTTTTACTTCTTTCTCTTTTCTTTTTCTTTGTCCAAAAGTTTCACTAATATTAAAAAAAACTACCTTTAATAACTTTTGTCTAGTTCAAAAAATGACAAACCATTAAATCATTCTAATTAAAATAATTTAAATAATAATTCTCAACCAATTTTTTATTTAAATTTTCTTGAAATAAAATTTATATAATTTTTCAACTTATGATATAATTTAATAATATTTATAAGTCAAATAACCTTCTGCCTTCTTTAGATAGTTATTTCAATGGTATGAAAGTGCAGGTTTATTATTCATCTATAGAAATATATACTAACATTCTTTCTTTATCTTTTCTTTTTGTAAATTATGACTTTGGGATCTTTAGAAGTTTGAAAGTATAAATATTTAAAAAAATTGTTTCACATGATTTATAAAAATATCCAATTTTAATTGAATAAAATATTATACAAATATTATCTGATAATATGTATTTTTTTATTAAATGCATACATTTATTTAAATTTTTAGCATTTATATATTATATAATGAAATAAAATACAATAAAAAATACGGTAGTTATTGTTTATATTCTTATAAAATTTATTTCTTATAAGTATTATAATAAATAAAATAAATAATTCAAATAATATAAATAAATGAAAAATACATTATATTGTTATCTTTTTTTTATCTGATAAAATAATAAATTTATAATAATAAGAAAAAAAATTTATAAATATATTATTTAAATGTTTAAAGTACAAAAAAAAATCCCAAAAAAAATCTGAAATCAGAAAAAATAACACTAATAAAAAATGACTCATTAACTTTATAATATATATATATTTGATAATGATTATGAAACTTTAGTAAATTTATTAGATATATCTAATAATAATTCTAATACTAAATTATTAATAAATTCATCTGTTAGTCTTTAAAGTTCATCACTTTATGTATCTAATATATCACATTGGAGACTTTCATCAAAATTTTTAAGATTATATCATAGAATTTCAAAATAATATCTTAGCATAATATCTACAAATCCCTTGCATATATATAGAAATATCCTAAAAAAGCATTCTGAATATTTTATAATACATTATTTATTTATCCTTTACAACAATATATACCTAACATTTCCTTATTTTTTAATTCAAATACCAATCATATTCCTGAATTAAGGGTTTTATATACAAATTATATAAGAAACCCTT